AAAAAAAAAAAAAAAAAAAAAAAAAAAAAAAAAAGAAATGCAATTTTTTCAGCTTACTCACCTTATACATCTCACGCAAATGTTTATTTTTATAGTTTCAAAAATATTAAATCAGGTGGCTATACAAGTAGCAATTTACATTAAAATAATCAATAAAGATAATATTAGTTTGGGGAAACTAAATAACAAACAAACTTGCAGCCATTTTTCTTTTGATCAACAAAACAGTCATTTAGAAAAATTAAAAAATACTATTTTTAGAGCTGTGGACTTTTCAATATTTATTTTTCAATTGTCACTTTCATTGCATGTTGTAAATCAAAATGCTAATGCCATAAATCATTCCATTTCATAATCAATCACATTAGACAGAGACTATTCTAGAAACTATCAGACTTAATTCTGAATTAAGAAGAACCTAAACAGCCTATGTTACTATAAAAACTAAAAGTAAATACAATAGCTTGAAAGAGATGGTATTCCTACTTCTAGCCCTGACTACATCAATTCCAAGATAAGGAGATTTAGGGATATGTGATTACTTTTCCTTACAGTATCCTGTGCCTGCCTTTGAGGGCATATTTTCAGACATTAAGGTTAGTGTTGTTAGAATTGGTTCAATAAAATAACTTTTTCTCAATAGTTACAATATTATAATGATCCTTGGGACATCTAAGTTTTTGAGGAAAAAAATATAAAGTAAGCAATTTCTTCACAGACACAGCAAGCTTGTATATTTTACAAATAGGCCTTGAACTTCAGTTACTTCAAGAAAAGTATAAACTTTAGAAGGCTTGTGAAGCCAAAACCTAGTATGTTATTGATCCTGTAGCAGGGCTGGGCATGGTATGGTTCAAAACTGAATTTCAAAATTTTAACAGTTTACATTAGAAAACTGTTACATAACTTCTAAGCATATAAAAAACTAATATAGATACCTAAATTGGTGTGGTGGTGGGGTGTGGGTGTGTGTGTGTGTTTTTCTAGTCCTCAAGGTGAAGTTAAATATAGACTTCGATTACATTGCGATGAGTTAAAAACACATTCTGTATGCTTAACTTTGGCTATGTTGGCTGTAAAATGTATATAAAGAGGAAACCTACTAAACCCACCCTAATCATAAAGGAAAATTATTTTTATGTAATAATCGCTTATTAAATAGGCATTGTTTATATTGTGATTTATAATTTCAAATATAGTATGGGGTTATGGTCCCATTCACTAAGAGAATGAAAGATATCTATGAGCTAAAGGTAAAAGAACAAAACTAAAAATTTTAAATCTAAAAATTCAGAAAATTGAGGTAAATAGCCTCCTTTATGCTTTACAGTATTTTCACATCATTTACACATAATGCTGAATTAACTCTCAAGTGCAGAAATATACATGTAAATTGTTTTATGATTCTAAGCTTATATATTTTGCCTGTTAAAAATGATGCTGCTCAATTAGCGTTAGAGGCCTTATGTTTGGTAATTATAAGTGTCTGGGCTATGTGAGTCTCTCTATATGTGTGTGCTTTGCTCCAGTTTCTTAATTCTTGATTCAAATTCTCTATGTGTAATTGTATCAAATATTTAAAAAGTAAAGGGGTCAAAGAAGATTATGAAATATCCAACAAGAATCCTAAATACCTTTATATATATTTTAGATGTATTGGGCTGTTTTGAACGTAATTATGCTGGTCTGTCTGCCTTTTAGCCTGACTCCTTCACTCTAGTGTATGGAAGTCTGTTAGGAACTTTTTCAATAAGCCAAGTAATGTTGTACTTTGCAAAAAAGCCTCCACTCTGAGAAACAGGGCCTTATAGAGTGGAAATGTTTTCATACTAGGTCTACTGAGATTTTGCAGATGTGCGCATCTGTTCCATTTAAGGTGCCCTTAAATGTGTTGAATGTAATGTGTTGAATGTTTATGTGTAACTAAACTAAATAACTAAAGTATCTATATGTATGTGCATAAGACTGTCACAAGATGTATTCTCAGGAGTATTGATGCCTGGAGTTTGAAGGAATAACTATATAAAAACAAAAAAAAACAAAAAACAATAGTTGGGGAAGATTAGAAAAAAGTTCAAGATAATGGACAATGTTTTGTAATGTTCAAAATATTGAGTTCATGACTAAAAGCTAATTATTGTATATGATAAATACAGTATTGGTAATAACAGATAACTTCTTAAGCTATGATACTTAATGATATGTATCTTATTCAGAGGAAAAATAAAACAGGCACCCACTTCCAATATATAAAAAACTGGATTCAAAAAAGAGGTTGCTTCCTCTGAAATTAACTTTTGGAGAGACAGATAACTTCTTAAGCTATGATACTTAATGATATGTATCTTATTCAGAGGAAAAATAAAACAGGCACCCACTTCTAATATATAAAAAACTGGATTCAAAAAAGAGGTTGCTTCCTCTGAAATTAACTTTTGGAGAGACCTTGGAATAAACATGTATCATCCATGATAGTGAGTGTAGATTTGTACTACTCAGACTCAATTAAACCAGTTGAAATCCTAGATACAGCATTTTCTATAAAAAAAATTTTACTTTAATTTTTCAGCATTTGATGCTTTCTATAATCCTATTAGATAAGTTATTTGATTTTTTTGAAAAGGAAACTGAGTTATTGAGTGCACTGGGACAAAGCACTGAGAACTATACAGTGTCAAAGGGCATAGATGGGCATGGCAATGCTAGGGGAAAAATCTGTGTATTGGTGATCTGGTTAGGGCCTGTTGCACAGGCTGGGAGTAGCTGGTTTGCTATTTCAAGCTTCCAAGAGTACCATAGAGAGGGTGGTGACATCTCTCTTCTATAGCGTCTATCCCTGTAATCAACGAAGAACTTTCTCCACTCTGCTGTCCAGTTCTGAGAGCATCTGAGACAAGAATAGGGGATGTGTTGGATCTATAGGGACAAAAGGGTCATAAATGAATAGAATTACAAAACATGAATTAAATATTCTTCCTCAAGTTATACAGGATACTTTAATGGAGCAGAGTCTCTAGAATTTGCTGCTATCACACCGAGTCATGCTGTTGCCCTGTGACCTCACACTTCAAATTCCATGGCCTTGTCTTAGCAGTGAGTAAAAAGTCCCACTTCCTCATTTACTTTAGTGGGTCTCAACTGCAGCATTTCAGAAACAAACTTTGATTTGACACTCAGGAGAATAAAAATAAATTCAGGCCAAAATGTCTTTGGAAAAGTGTTAAGACAAATTTACTTTCATTATTTCAGGATTATTTAGGATTACAGATAAATGTACCTCCATAATATTTTTTAAGTCACTGTGACCACAGGATGAAAATCCTTTATTAGCCATTTTATAGGTTAATAACAAAAGATTGACTACACAGCCAACTTCCCTCAGATGACTATAGTCTGTTATGAATAGTGAATGACCAAAGAGCATGGAAAAAATGCATATGAATATATATTGAAATGTTTATGAAAGATATTTATGAAAGATATTAAGACTTCTGTGTTTGAATATGCACATATAATAAAAGAAATCTAAAAACATTTAAGATACTGGAGTAAGTTTCATTTCTCAATATAGGGAACAGGTTAACTCATTCAGGAAGACGTTCATTTTGGATCCCTGGGGATGTCTTGCTCTCCCTCCCCAACCCCCTGAGTTTGTTCTGAGGTCACCATTCAATTAGACACTTCCAATTTCCCATCCCCACCCCAGCTGAGCCCCATTCTACTCTTCCACCACCCTACCTTTCAAAATAAAGCAGAACAGGTATAGTGGGAGACAGGTACTCCAATTTGACTTTTCTGCTCAGGTTATGACCTGCTGGGATGACTGGTAGATTTCCCCGTGGAAATATTAAAAACCTGGTTGTCCTCTGAATGTGGCCATACACACCATGGGGTCCAAGTTAGCACCAGTTCTGTTTTTTGAAGAGTACAAAGTGCCCTATCCTTACCCCCTACGGATTGCTCTTGCTAAATCCATTTTTTCCCCTCACTTGGTTTTACTTCTGACCCAATGATCCTAGACATATCTGACAGTGGAACACCTTTACCCATTTCTGGATTGTGCCAGAACAGTAAACAAATGTACCACAATTTGTCAATGAGCATTGCTAAGAGGGAAAAACTAAAAAAGAAGGTAAGAGGGACAAGGGGCAGAAACAGAAAAGGAGGGTAATAATAACACTAACCATCACCATTTCTTACTGAGCACCAGGCATCGTACTGGGAGCATTACCTGGATTCGCTCATTCAATCCTCATAACAACCCTAAACACTGGGCACTGTCTCTGCAGATGAGAACACCGGGGCAGGGAGAAGTGACTTGCCAGGGCACGAGCTGGTATCTTGCAGATTCCTCCAGCTCGTAAGAACAGCTCTAGTAGACGAGAGGGACGAAGGTTTTTGTTGTTTTTTTTAACGGGCAAGCGCAGAGGCTGGAGAGGAAAGGAAAGCAACGCATAAGCAAAGTAAATGAAGAAACAAAAAGGAAAGTGCCGTCAAGAGCCAGGAGAGAGAACCACAGGGAAGTAAAGCGGAAAGGCTTAAGAATCTCCCTGAGTACTGCGAGGAATGGAGACCCGAAAAGAGAGTAAGAAAAGCTCAGGTCAAGGGTTCGGATCCCCTTACCTGCCGGCCACCCCCTTACAAAATAGGGCTGATCGGTTAGCTCAGTTGGTTAGAGCGTGGTGTTATAACACCAAGGTAAAGGGTTCGGATCCCCTTACCCGGCAGCCGACAAAAAAAACCCCAACAAATCAAGGCCAGAAGGAAGAGAAAGGATCCCCGCCCCAGGCCCCGCCCCTAGGCCGTCAGCGGCAGCCCCTCCCACCAGGAGAAGGCGGGACTTCCTCGCCTCAGGGCAGCTGCTTCCGGTGGAGTCCGGAAGACTGTGTGGGGAAGGGGCGGGGCTGAAGCCGCACGCCCAATTGTAGCGACGCCTTGGCTCGTGGGGTAAGAGCACCATGGCGTCGGGCTGCAAGATTGGCCCGTCCATCCTCAACAGCGACCTGGCCAATTTAGGGGCCGAGTGCCTCCGGATGCTAGACTCTGGGGCCGATTATCTGCACCTGGATGTAATGGACGGGTAACTCCTCCAGGCTGGGGTCGGGCTTGCGGCGCGGGGGCGGGATCGGCGCACCTTTATTGAGTGCCTGTTGGATGCACGGCATTCCTGAGCCACGGAGCGCCTCGCTCTGAACTCGGTACTGAGAAGGGGACTGGGCTGGGAGCCCTGCAGGCCTTGACTTGAGCAGATGTGACGCGGCATGCTGGGCTGCGGCCGGGTCCCAAGCCTCAACTCTTCCCTCCGCCCCCCTCCCCCAACTCCGTTACGTGTGGTCTTGTAGCCCTTAGGACTCGGAAGCGACCTTACATCTCTAAGACATTTCCTTCATTTTCAGTTAGAGAAACTGAGGCCCAAGGGGATAGGCATGACTTGCCCAAGCTCATATAGCTAGTTAGAGGCAAAGCTGGGGAGGCAGACTTGTGCATCGATTAAGAGCGTGGCACCAGGAGCGAGATTGCCACTTGCTGGATTACCTTGGACAAGCCACTTAACCTCGTTGAGCTTCCGTTTCATTATTTGGAAAATGGGAGTACCCATCGAACCTACCGCTTAGGCATCTTTGGAAGAAGAAATGAGCGGCTACACCTAAAGTTTACAGTGCCTGGCATATAGTAAATTCTCTATAGTGATTGTGTCGTTATTCGAATTCTGATTTTCCTGTCTATTTTCTTCAGGCACCCTGCTCTTCAGGGAGGTCAGTTTTTTGTAAGTAATTTTTGAGCGCTGTAGTTATAGCACATAATATTTTTCGCAGTCAGCATACTAGTTTCTTAAGTTGGTCATAAAATGAGGAAACCTAGAGAAAACAGTAAGATTCCCTCAAGAGTACACTAGATTGGATCTTGGATCTTCTTGGGTTTGCCAGGTAGTTCATTGAGCCCCACTGTTACCTGGCCATAAACTCGTAAAAAGTCCTTACCTTGAATTGGGATAGAAAAATAAATTTGTTTCAAATAGGTAAAACCTCTGTGTCTTCATTCAAATTTGCAAATTCGTGTTATTTACAAAAGATGATTAATTACTTCCTTTTAAAGTGTCACTCACTTGTAAGAGTTTGTCTTCCTTTGTTTTATTAAATCTTTTGTTTCTTTTGCATTCCACCCACTTGCCTTAAGAGTCTGCCCAACTGATGCTGGGAAAACCCTGAGCTTAGAGTACTAAGAATTATAGCCTAAATGTGTAAGGAGGTTAGTAAATATTACCTCTCATGAAAGCTTGCTTGTTAGTTTGTCATCATATGTAATTCTATTTATATATTTTGGGCACCTTTACTTGAAAGCCCTAAACTTTCATGGGTAATGGACTGAATGCATTGTGTATCTCAGAGATGGTTAGCTGCATTTTTGTTCCTTAGACGTAGGTGTGAACACACAAAAAAAAAAAAAGAAAGAAAGAAAACTGTCTCAGGATGGAACAGGCTACATGTATACAAAATGTCTTCAAAAAGTTCGTAGAAAGATTCATATTATCTTTTAATTACACTTTTCCGTGAACTTTTTGAGGTATCCTCGTATGTGTGACTGTTTGACACAGAAAGCTGTTTGATTTTAAATTAAGTCATATATGAGAAAGTGACTGGAGGGGGAAAATAATTTGTTTTAGTTAACCAATCAGTAATATTAATGATAACCTTAGTAGTAATATTAAGTAGATAACCTTAGTAGACCATTTCTGTTGTGCTGCTTTTTGTGGATTAAGGTTGGTGCTGTTATGACCTCCAGCATTTGACAGTGAATTATTGGGCACAGAAGGGTTGAGTCATCTGCCCATGGCCTCATAGTTAGAAGGTGGTGGAGTCAGGGTTGGAAGCAATGCAACAGCTTGTGTTGTCTCAAAAATTAAATGCTTTCTGTGGGTCCAGGGCTACAGAGAATGATTAAGACATTCTCTGACCTCAAAGAGGAACTAATAATTTATGCACTTACTTTCGGTATTTATTTCGTGTCTCTCCTACTATACTATAAGCTTCTTGAGAGCAGGGTCTGTCTGTTGTTCACCTCTATTTTCTCTGCAGATGAAGCACCATGATAAGCTTACCTTATAATTGGTTAAATGAGTAAATGGCTTAATCATAATAGAAGGGATCTCTAAGGAATCGCTTTTGCCCCTTCCCACCCCTATAGCAGATGCTGAGCTTATTAAGAGAAAGTATTTGTTTTTTATTGCTATCTCTCCTTTGCTAAGAAACACCTTGTTTTGGAAAAACAAATTCTGCATGCACAGTTTTAAAACTCTTTCCCTTTTAATCCTCACAATTTTTTGAGACAAGAGCTATTTTTATTCCCCTTTGCAAAGGAGGAACCCAGTATAGGGAGGTTCAGCCGCTTCCCTGATGTCCCACCAGAAGAGGCAGAGCCTGGAAGAGCTGGTGCCAGTGCCCCAGAGGTGCGCCATGATGAAAGCAGGGCTGTGGACTCCCTTTCCAAAGGTGGCCAGCTACAAAGTACCTTCCCTCTTGCTACCACCTCTGGGTTTCTCTTTTTTCCCTGACCCCTTTTAAAAATCTCATCCCACATTATACTTTAGATGTACTTGTTTTCTAGTCTTCCCCTCCCCTGCCCCCAATTTCTCTTCTAATTAAAACTGAATTTCTTCATCTAGAAAGTCAGAAACTAGTTTTGGGAACACTGTGAAAAGTGGGGTACTACTAATATGGTTGGATATGTGGAGTAAAGGGTAAGTTGATTCCCTGGAAAAGAAAATTGGAAAACACATAAATGTGTCCACAGGACTCTGATGGGTATATGTTGATCCTAAGCATGGAAACAGCAAATAAGCAATTTCTAAATTACCAGGATTTAAAATTGGGGAAATTTCATATTAATACTACAGTTCTGGCTTTTGAAAAAAATCCAAAGATTTCCTGGCACACAGTCTCACAGGGCCACACTGGACTTTTGCTGAATGAGTCAGCCACCTTTAGCTAAGCCAGGTGTTTTTCATTTGTCCCCTGTCCCCATCTGTTCTGTTTTGCTCCTTGTTGTTACCTGCAAACCCTCGTTGATTTAGGAGTTTGTAGTTCTTGATTCACAGGAAGATTGTTTTCTGGCTACAGTCTTGATACACTGTATACCTTAATCCTTCTACCATCTTTGCCTTGTTGGGAGATGGGTAAAGTTTTGATCTGTCTGAAATAGATTGCATACAGTTAAATTATATGTAAAGTTTAAGACTGACAGTGGAACATGATGAGAGATAAAATAAAATAATTATATCCCTGTGTTATAAACAATTATAGTTTAATTCCAGTAAGTTCCAGGGAAAAGGAGATTTTTTTTTTAATTGCATTTTATTTCTTATAGGTGTTATTCCAGGCAGTACTATCAAGGAAGAAAATGCAGAGTAAGATAATGGTGAAGCAGACTTTTTGATGAATTTCTCTTTATCAGAGTAAAATAATTCAGTGTTTTTCAAGCTGTTCTGATAAGAACACCCTGGGACATATGTTAAAAATTCAGATTCCCAGGTCTTCTTTGGAGTCAGTAGGCTTGAAGTAGAACCTTTATATCAGTCCATTTGTAGCAAGTGCTCCCATGGTTACTATTGTCAGCCAGATTTGGGGCAATGACTTTATGCTTGGCTTTGTAGCTGTATTAGTCCATTTCTGTTACTTATAACAAAATACCTGAAACTCAGTAATTTGTAAGAAACACAGTTTATTGCTTACAGTTGCAGAGGCTGGGAAGTCCAAAGTCCAGGGAACACATCTGGTGAAGGCCTTGTCCTGGTGGTGACTGCAGCAACTCAGGGTATCATATGGCAAATATGATGGAGCAGAGAGAGATATCTCCTCTGCTTTCCTTTTAAAGCCCTCAGAATCATGCCTATGACCACCATTAAACCATTCACAATGGCAGGGTCCTCACAATCTAATCACCTATTGAAGGCCTGACATTTCAATTACCATAATAAGGTTTCCCACCCTCAACAGTTAAAGTGGGGATTAAGTTTTGATAAGTTGGGGGTGGACATTCAATCCACTGCAGTAACCCTTCTTTGTTAAGGCTTAGCTATAAACCTTTTTGAGAATATTGGCGCATTTTTGTTTTTCTAGTATGCTTGGTAAACCTAATGCATCAAATTCATCTTCAGTAGCACAAATTTATCACATAATTTGGGGTTAGTAGTTTTATATGTTATGCTTGTGTTTCCCAGTAAAGTAAAAGTATATTTGTTTAATTCACATATTTTCTCAGGATGTGGTTATATTTTTATTTTCATGATAAGTGAAACTGAGGTTGAGACAAAAAACTACTTCCAAGGCCAGACAGCATAGTAAAAGAACAATGTATGAAATCCACATCTCTCAGTTGTAAAATTTTCTATGGGCCTTATTGTCTGCTTACCTGACCCTTATTTCAAGTTTTATATAAATACACACATCTTATCCATAACCCTGGCTATTAATTGCTCTTAGGCAAATGGTAGACTAATGTGGTAAATATTAGAACCAACATGTTAGTGAGTGAAAGTGTTTCCATCCATCCACCTTACCTGTCCCTCTCAGATGTGTCCTGAATTCTGACCTCTCTTAAGTCTCTTGTCCCTGGACTTTTTTTTCTGTTAGTTATTAGCTATCATTGTAGGAGCAGGTGAGCATAGTAGTTAAGAGCCTCTTGTAGTCATGTATTGTCCGCATTTAACTCCTGCCTTCAGCACTTACTGTATGTTGTGTGATCTTGGGCCTCTTTTCCTCATCTGTACAGATAATAACAGTACCTGCCTCATTGGGTAGTTGTGAGATTTTAGTGATTTAATATATGGAAAGTATTTAGAACCATGCCTGGCCTATGTATAAGTTTGTTTTTTATTAACACTCATTCTTCCTGTCATCTAAACCTAATACCTTGACTATGGCTTATGGCTTATTCTCTCTTTAACCCCTGCCTGCCCCCCCCATCTAATCAGTTAACAAATCCTGTAAGTTTTGCTTGTCATTGTCATTCTTATTGTTACTTACCACTTACTAACACCTCTTAGCTTCCTTCTTGTAATGTATTGCCTAGTCCGTCTTATTTATTATTTGCTTCTTTCTTTAAAATCTTCCTTTGTATTTACAGTGGGATTAAGTCCAAACAGCTGTGCTGGCATTTGGCACCCTCAATGTGACACAGGGTCCTCCAGCCATTTTTACTCTAGTCCAACTGGTCAACACTATTTCCCCCTTCTTTGAACATAACTTGCTTATTTCTGCCTTTGCTTCATTTTCACCTTTTGCTTCATTTTTTTCCCCATGTTTACAAATCCTGTTTGTTTTGTAATCTAGTGATCTTCTCTTTCAACATTCTGCAATACTTGCTCTTACTTTTATCTATACTCACATATTGCCTACTTGTTATTGTTTAGCTTTTCTTGTAATACTCATGTAGGGTAATATGTGCTACTTTAACAAAACCCAGATTTCAGTGGCTTACTATTACAATTTGTTTCCCATTCGTGTAACAGTTCAGTGTTTGTCCTTCCGTGCAGTCATTCAGGGACATAGTCCTCTTCATCCTGTGGCTCTGCCATTCCTTAAGGCTTTATTGGCTGAAAGGTAAAGTGAGAGTTGAAAAGAAATACTACTTAACCTTCTGGACTCTGCAGTGATACACATCACTTAAACACACACTCCATTGGTGAGAACTAGTCACATGGGCCTCCTGGATGTAATAGGAATTGGGAAATGTATTCCTTGGATGGGTTGGCTTCCCACTGACAACTATACTGTAGCAGTAGGTCGTGAACTCTGGTGAGTCGATAGCCATCTCTGCCATCTCTTGCCAGTGAGATTGTAAACTCTCCTAGCGTAACTCAGGAGCTCTAATATATTCCTTTATAAAACAGTACCCTGAAGCATCTAGCATTGTATTTACGTATAGAGTTTTTTGTTAAATATTTAAGTGAGCTAGTGATGAAACAAAAGGATTAAATAGTAGGTTAAAGGTTAAAGTGCTTTGCTTCTGATATGCGGGCAGACTGACTTTGAATCCTACCTCCACAAATTATTAACTGGGTGAGTTAAGGATATTATTTATTCCGTGCTCTTCAGGTGGGGATAATAACAGTATCTACTTTACAAGGTTGTTGTGAAAATGAAATGTAGGAAAGTACAGTGCCTGGCATTTGGTGAACCCTCAGTAAGAGGTGGCTATTATTTATAAACATATGAAGTGTCTTTACTGGTGATCTGTAAGAAAGTTTAAATAAACTGTCATTTAGTGCCCTGTGATAGAAGTGAATTAGAGGTAGCCACAGACTTTCTCTGTCAGAGTAGGATTCGGGAGACCTGTATCGAAGTCCAGAACTTACTGACCAGTGTGTGACTTGGGCAAGTCATAAAACTTTTGGGTTTTGATTTTGTCATCTTTTCATTTCTACCCGTCATGGGTTATGGATTGTAGAGTTAAATCATTATGAAGGTATATGTGACACACACACATATACACAAAAAAGATATATGTGACATGATTTGTTGAAATATCAAGGAGATAGATAAGCTTTGTAAAACAGAAATTATCCAGGTATTTTTAGTGTTGTTTAATACTGATGATGTTAAGTATTACACTGAAAAATGTTGCCATCCCAGACAATCCCCTCTGCCCTCATCAGAATTTGTATTGGGAATACAGAAACTGAATCAAAAACATTTTCAGAGTAAGACTTTGTTTGTCTTGTAGGCATTTTGTTCCCAACATCACCTTTGGTCACCCTGTGGTAGAAAGCCTCCGAAAGCAGCTAGGCCAGGACCCTTTCTTTGGTAAGTGGGTGTTATGCCATCTGAAGCTGGATGTGTTGCTCAAGTAGAGGTGGATGGTTGGTTTCTTAACTTCCTAGTTCACTTTGTACACCCCACCCCCTGCCCCATGCTGGAGCCTCAACCACCTGACTCCAGTAGCAAGCCAAACTCTTTTCCTGCCTCACGGCCTTGGCCCTTGCAAATCTGTCTGCAAAGTTCTTCACTTGGCTGGCTGCCACATCTTTGGGCTTCAGTTGTTTGTCATTTCCTCAGGGAATTCTAGCTCCTTATCCTAAATTAACCTTTATTCAGTTATTTTATCACCTTGTTGATTTTCTTAGAAATTCCTGCAATCTGAGATTACTTTTATCATGCTATAAACTTCGTGAGGGCAGGGATTGAATCACTTGTTTACTGTGGTTTTCTCAGAGTTAAACATAGACACATGATTGGGGCATAGTGCAGTTTTTAAATGAATTTATGAATCAGTTGATTGCGTTGTAGTCTAGAAGCTATTAATTTCATACAAATTGGAGCTTTCTATAGATGGGGCCTAAATATGCTCCATTGTAAGGTCATAGGATAATGTGTAAGATTTTTAAGATCACGTGGTGATCTGGTATTGAGCTATACCAGTAGTCATTATGTTCTTCATTGCCTTGCTTTTGCAGTAATTACCCTTGAGGAAGCAGTACAAATTATTAATTTTAAAAAATTTAGATCTTTCAGAACATGTCTTTAATATTTCGTGTGACAAAGTAGAAAGTACATGTATAACACTTTTGCCATACTGGAGTACGATGGTTTTCTCAAGGAAAACCACTGTGCCGTAGTTTGAGTTATGATCTAAACTAGCTGCTTTTTTCCTGAGTACCATTTTTATTTGAAAGAATAACTGACGGGTGAACTATAGATTTTCACACTTGGCTATTTTATTGACATTTTCTTTAAAATTAACTAAGCCTTTCACTGTGATTTTTCAGATTTGGCTATTTTATTGATGTTTTCCTTAAAATTAAAAAATTGAGCCTTTCACTTCAAGGAAAACAGGGGTTTTGTCAGTTTTTGTTACCACCGATATAGTTGGAGCTTGCAAAGGAAAATTAGAATTTTGGAAAACTTGTATTTTACCACTGTGAGCTAGACAGCTTCCCAATACTTTAATAGCTTTTCTGATGAGATCTGTAGTGATTTAAACAAATGTGATTTTAGGCTAGTATAAAATGAAATCTGTCGCTATTTAGAAGATCCGTGTAACTCAGTGAACCAATACTTAAAAGATCCATTTAAAGTGTAGGATAAAGCAGTGGGGTTTTTTTTGTTTTTTTTTTTTTTTTTTTCTGTGTCCGGCAACGGATTGCAACCCTCAGTGTTGCCCCCGTACCGGACCAGGGACCGGCAACGGGATTGCAAACCTCGGCGTTGCTCCCGCACCTCGCTCAGCCAGTGAGCGGGAGCCGGTCTGTATGTGGGATCCGAACCCTCGGGCGGGAGCGCTGCCGCGCTTCCCAAGCGGCGCACTATCCAGTGCGCCACCGGGCCGGCCCAAAACAGTGGGTTTTAATGTAACTAAGTGGGAAAAGTTTACTGATAGGGTTTATAGATTGTACATTGCAGCTAACCTTAATAAAATTACCACTTGTTGAGTTTTGGGTTAGGATCAGAATGACGTCCATACTTATCTGAAAAGGCTATTAATATACTCCTTCCTTTTCCATACGCTTTTCTTCTCCCTTTCTGAAACAGTATATTGCAACACAATTTTGCAATTGGATGCAGAACAGGAATGAGAATACAGGTGTCTTCTGTTAAAACAGACATTAGAGACTTATAAAAATGTAAAACAATGCCATTTTAAATATGTAATAGATTTATTCAATAAGCACATAATTAAAATCGATAATTACATATAAGCCATATTTTTTGGTGGTGGTCTTAAGTAATTTTAAGAGTGTAAAGAGACCTTGATACTAGAATGTTATGTTAACTATAGCAGATTTGCTGAACCAATGACTTCTTTTTTTTTTTTTTTTTTTTTTTTTTTTTTTTTTTTTTTTTTTTTTTTTTTTTTTAAAA